GAAATAGGTATCCCTTCAAACAGTGGTTCAACTTGGCTGAACATTAGAATCACCTGAAGAGCTTTTAAAAATTTCACTCCTGTAACATCTTGCCCCAGACCAATGAAATCAGAATTTCTAGAGCTGGGACCCAGGGATCAGTATTTTTTAAAGTTCCCCAAATGATTGCAATGTTCAGGCAAAGTTGACAATCACTGTCCTAGAACATAAACAGTTTAAGAAACAGTTTATCTGTTATTATATGCCTTAATGCTACAGGTTCCTGTGCAATAAAGGCTTTGGTGATAGAAAATCCCATCATCATAGAACCTTCAGTGAGTGTCATATGGACCTATCACATAAAGGATGCAAGTTTGTTCTGTTATCTTTTTTACCTTTAATGGAAGATGATTTCTGAATTAGCTGAATGGAGGCTGTGCTTTAAGCAGACACCTCCAGTGGCCATGTGTAGGATAAATTGGAGCAAGCTTTGTTTCTAGGAATGCTTTACTATCATTTCACTACCCTTATATAATATTATTGATTCAACTTTTGGAACAAGACTTTTAAAAAAATATATTCAAGAAGATGCTAATGAGGAAACTGATATGTCATACAATTGGCATATAGAGTTTCAAATCATTACAGTATTTAAAGATACAGTGTTAATTTGCTTGTGCCTAAAATTTCTATTGTAAGTAGCAAGGAGGACATGAAGATGTGACCTAGCTTGATGTCTCCATAAATTTACTCCTTTACTTTTGATTCTGAATAATGTACAAGTTTGGGAGTATGTCATTCCCAATCATCATGGCACCAACTCTCAAAATGGCTATGGTCATTTTTGGTCCCACCTTAAAAACAAGCAGTAATTGCAAAAGAGCGTCTGTGGCTTTTTGTATTAATCATGTAGTGATCATGGGGAAAACATTTTTAAGTGGAAATTTATTTTCGCACTATAAGGGAAATAAATTCACGTTACTAAAAGAGAAAATAAATATGAAAACACAAATATCACTATTCTCTCTGCCTTGTTCAACCTCCTGGTGTCCCAGAATGCCACCATCTACCATGCCAACCTAAAAATGACTTGTTCAAATTCTGCCTAACCTTCAGACTTAGCTCAGTTATTAAAGCCTCCATACAACCTTTCCATTTGTAAGAGGCAGTAATTCAGAGATATCAGAACAATTCGGAAGCCATTGCAACAGCCCATGGAAGGTAGGAAACCTGATTTAGGAAGTAGGCATGTGGTGGAAGGTGAGCATTTTAGAGACATCACTGAGTTCTCTATAGATGGGAGAGAACAGGTAAGGGGTAAGAAGAATTCATGGCTGGCTCCCCAGTCAATCTAAAGCAATAGATATAACGAGCATTTATATATAAACAAGTTGTGCATGCGTGTGTAGTTCAGGAGTCTTAATTCACTGACTAAATTCTCTGCGAGCTATCTGGTCCTCCATCATTGGATCTTTTGAATTACTGTGCTAAGCATTACCAACAAGCTCCTCACAACAGCCTGGGTCTGAGCTCCAGCTTCTTACTGGCCCCTCATCAACTGTGTTTTCTTCATGCTCTGATGCTTTGAAATTCATACCATTCCCCTGGTTTTTCTTGTTTAAAGGAGCTGAGATACTTGTATAAAAGATGGGCATTAAGATTGTGGTGTGCTTTTAATAATGTGTAGTGTAAGTCCCTCTAGAGGCAAGGATACACTATGCTTGAGTAACTTTCTTTCCATTCTGAATGCCTCCCTAAAAGGCTTAGTTTGTAAATTTTTGTTAATGTGAAAAGGGAACATTTGGGCACCTTTTCTGTCCTGCTGATGTGTAAGGCTATTTTTATTTTTTCTTCTTCACTCTTTTTCTGTGCTTGTGATTTTAAAGGTGCCAGACTGACTGCCCTCAAGGCTGGTGTCCCTGATTTATCCCAAGAATAGGAAAACTATAGGAGGCAGCAGAACTGGTCATGTCTGGGTCCAGCATATTAGCCTGACCCACTCTGTAAATATATTACCCAAAACATAAAAGAGAAGATTGATCCTTAGGAATATAGTTCATCTGCTTTCATAGCTGAGAAGACAAAACCTTACTGTGCCGTCACCTAGCCACTGCAATGTTTTTGGATCCAATAAGACACAGCCACTCATTCCCTCTGGAAAAACTAGAATGTTCTTCTCTCTTCCACCTCCACCTATCAAAATTCTCTTCTTTAAGGTAGGCTCAGATGCTCATCCTCCACAAAACCTTTCCTGAGCCCCCTCAGATCTGATTTTCCTTCCACCTTTTCATAGCACTCTTCTTCTGTGACACATTGCACATTATGTTATGTGACTGTTGGATGTATGTAGTCTTGGAATAAAGGCACTAATGTCATCTAATCTGTTTCTGTATATCACACAGAAGCAGAATACAGTCCTGGGCAAAGATAGATACTTCGGTGTCTATTGAATAGACAGAAAATTTAAAAGCTCATTTCTTCAGCCTAGCCTTTAGGGCTCTGCTCTGATCTTTCCATCTAAATCAATGATTGAAGTTCACTTCCTGATCGTCATGGGTAGCTATCAACCTCTTTATAAGCATGTAGGCTCACGCTCTTGGATTCCACTTGGGGCACCCATGGTCTGGATCAGAATTGCTACCATTAGCTGCCTAGTAGACCATGAACAATAGTTTGTAACATTTGGCCAGAAACTTTTTTTTTTTTTTTTGCCATGTGTGGTCCACAGTTCCCTGGTAGTTCCTAATATCCTATTAAGTGATCTTGTTTGACATGTGGAAAAGGAAAGAGTAATATGGAAAAATAATTGTGTTGACCTGCATTTAACAAATTTGAAATGTAAAATTGTAATTTTCACAGGAATCCAATATGCTGTTAATAATCATATGGATTGGTGATCCATTTGCCTCTAATCTCCAATATGCTTTCTATAATGAAATGTCATCAAAGGTTTCATGAGGCTCCCAGAATTCTAGCATAATTTTCAAACATAGCATAGTTTTTATTTGTTTTTCTGTTTGTTTGTTTTTTGCCCAGAATAATCACAAAAATAGGGCCATATGAAATAATTTTGTTACTATAAGTAGGGAAAGTCTAAAATGTTAAAGGCATCTTTCATCTTATAATAAAGACAGGTACAAGTTAACTCTTGGATAAAAGTTTGTAAAAATAAGCCACAAAGTTTATTAGAAATATTATACAAAATTTTTTAACAAATGTCAAGAATATGGTAATAATAAAGACAGGTACAAGTTAACTCTTGGATAAAAGTTTGTAAAAACAAGCCACAAAGTTTATTAGAAATATTATACAAAATTTTTTAACAAATGTCAAGAATATGGTATCAAGTCTTGCTAATAATATCAACTGTAGTGGAGACAACTCAGTTTCCAAGAATTTAACTCTTTTTCTAGCACTTCATATTTTCTATTCCTTAGAAAGAAATTAATTATGGATTGTTTGGGTCATATTTAAAAGATACATTCAAATACTGTAACCAAATATAAAGAAATACTTTCCAGGGCCAAATGCAATCAGAGAGAATCAGAAATATATTTTTAAATTCATTTCTCCCAAGTTGAAACATTTAGCCCTCTCATTTTTGAGTGTGAAATGGTTGTCAATCCAATGTGATGGAGTGCTGAAAGCAGTCTTCAGTGAGAAATCTCTCCATAACGCTCCACAGTGTCAGATCTGTGTGAATCCTGATGCACAGAACTAGGAAGACGCGATATAGCAAAATAGTTAAGAGCATAGATGCTGAAGCTGTTTGGACTTGAAGTTAGTTAGCATTTTTGTGACTCAGTTTCCTCATCTGTAAAACAGGAGTAATAACAGTACCCACACATGGGTCATTGTGGATATGAAATGAGTTAATATATTTAAAGCCCAAAGAAAAATGCTTGACATATATGAAGTTATAGGTTTGCTATAACTTACCTGTCAAAGCCCACTGAATTTCTGACATTCCTAGTATCCTGTAATTATGTGATAGGATTTCTTAACTTAGTAGAAACAAAGAATAAGAAGGGAAACTAGATGTGGACCTGACCTCTGGCTCAAGATTCCCATGATGGAGCCAGATAGAGATACAGATTGCAACCAGCATCAATGTCTCTTACGGACATAAATATTTTTCTTAAATTATATTTTACTGTTGTTATTTACAACTCAATGTGAATTTCTAAAACCCAAACCTGATGTTCATATGTGGGCCAGATGTTGCGTTAATCAGTTTAAGAATGCTGGAGATAGGTATGCAGAACGCCTCACAGGCATTGACAACCAGGGCCACGAGGGACTCAATACCCTACATTATGTGGAACCATTGCAGGATTTAGGGATGATCAAACTGAGAACAAACTTGGAAGCAATGCTAACTGAATTGTGATATCTTAAAGGGTGTCAAGTCCAAGAGATGAGGTTTGTATCATGAGGCCCCAGAAGACAGAACTAGAACTATTGGGTAGCAGAGTCAGGAAGTATTCTGGCTCAATATGAGAAAAAAGCTTTCTAGCGGTCAGAACAGTTTGGAGATAAAAGGGACTACCTTGTGATCTGCCTGTCACTGAGGGCTGGCTGCAGCAGTTTTACAACCAGAGCTTTTGTGAAAGGAATTAAAGTTTGAGTTTGGACCCATTCCCTCACATTCTAACTGGGTGCATAGAATCTCCAAGGAGAAAGACTGTTTTATAGACTGTGCCTTCCATGCCAAGCATCCTGAGTCATGTTCCTCTTACACCTGCATGTGAGATTAGAGGCAAGCACTGGGCTTAATGTCAGAGACCTGGGTTCTACTCTGTTTGTTTCTGTGGGACCTTAGGCTGCGACAGTCAGTCTCCTCAACTGACTCATGTAGGATCACCATAACGCCAGCCTTATGGACAGTGGTGGCTGATGGTCTTGCAGGTGGTAGTGGTGGCAGTAGTGGTGGTTGTGTGGCTGCTGCTGACTTTATAAATCTGCTGTCTTCCCCACATTCCTTGGTTTATTCTTTACAATCAATCCCTTTTTTCTTTTAGGCCGCTGTGCTCGCTGTGGGGAAAACGTAGTTGGAGAAGGTACAGGATGCACTGCCATGGATCAGGTGTTCCACGTGGATTGTTTTACCTGCATCATCTGCAACAAGAAGCTACGAGGGCAGCCCTTCTATGCCGTGGAAAAGAAAGCATACTGCGAGCCCTGCTACATTGTAAGTTCTAGATTTGTTTTTAGGTGCTTTGCAAAGATGTCTTCTTTGGCTGAATGCCAATCATTCCACACAGAATGTAGCCATCAGATTTCAAAATGTGTGTGTGTGTAAATTGGCATATTGTAACTTTTTTCACGTAATTGACATATCATAATTTTTCCCCCATTTATGTGAGATCGGAAGTGTGCATTGGGATGGGCTTACCATTCAGTTAGTAGTCTGTTGGGAAGATCATCAGCCTGTGGCTTTCAGACATGTATGTACAAGCTAGCGTGTTCTTCCCTAAAGCATCAGAAGACTTCCCAAGTAGCTGAGTCACACCTCTTGTTATTAGATCTCACCCTGCATTTGAAATCCTGGTATTTTCAAGGAAACTTTGCAGGATCTCTGGACTTGTCAGTGCTCTTCCAAACTGCTGGGGCCTTTGAATCACCTCTTATCCACCCAGAATGTTTCTTACCCCCTTATCCAGCAGATTTGCAATGATGCAAACAAAGAAACCCTTTATTATAGAACACCTTAAAGAGAAATGAGTAGTCCCTTTGAATCACCTCTTATCCACCCAGAATGTTTCTTACCCCCTTATCCAGCAGGTTTGCAATGATGCAAACAAAGAAACCCTTTATTATAGAACACCTTAAAGAGAAATGAGTAGTAATGCTGACTGAGCTAATAATTGTTTTCTTTTTTTAAAGAACACAACAACTATATTTTAACAACATAGCCGAGTGACTAAAAAGTACCCCTAGTCACATTATCTTAGCTTTTTTTCAAGGCTGCTTAATGTACACATTAATCTGTGTTCTGGTAGAACAATTTGATGAATGAACACAAATTTTTTTTTTAATATAAAGTAAATTTCTTTGCTGTCCTTCTACATGATTTTAATCTCTGTTGAACACATCAGTGGAAAAAGTAGTACTGTTTTACAAACCTTAAAAGAATCATGGTTTGCCCTGCAGTGCCCAGGCATTTCAACATAAGAGAAGCCTTGAGTGCAAGATATTGGAAGTCATACGTGGCTTTGCAGATACCCAAGGTTCAAGTATACTGAAGAAGTTTCTGGCCTGATTGATATTTTCTTATAACCTGAAAGCTCTAACTCATTGTAACCCTGGGATCTGTAGCACAAGTAAGAAAGTTCCTCAAGATTACAACTTTGTAGGATTAAATATTGTTCTGCATCTCTTAGGTTCAGTTCATTTCATTTTCCTCTCAAAGGCAACTTAAACACATGTAGCATCATTATAGAGCTATACAATGTCAGAGCTGGAAAAAAGAATCTTAAAATCATTTACCTGACTCCTCTCTTTAGAGGTGAAAATACATAGACATAGGAGGAAGAAAGTGATTTCTTACATTCTGTCATTAGTGTCAGAGCCAGGTCTATCTATATTCAGTTATTCACACTGCTAGTCTCATATTCTTTGCAGATGTTGCATGGTTTTAGTTTGTCCAAAACATAAAGACAAATACAGAAAGGAGCAATTATGTACAAGGGAAAGCCTCATGAACAAAAGCCTACCTCTAGGACATAAGAATATTTTACATATCACCCTTTGAAGCCTTTATTGAAAAGAGAAAGGCATTACATAGTTCCCTACCTTTTTAAACAGACTGTATAGACTGTTATTCACAAGGACTGAGGACCACCGCTATTAAATTATTTATTGTCATGAGCAGTGTGACTGTGATGTCAGCAGAGCCTGTAGAGGCACCGAAGGCTGTTTGTCCTTACACTGAGTCACGACAGACTGCGGTGTTTTTATAGCTCTCGTGTCTACTTTTTCATCCCTTTTTTGACTACAGTGTTGATTCTTGCTACTTTAATGATGCTCCGGTGAAGCTTTCTTCAATTATGCTTTTTAATCCCTTAGGAGCTAAAAATCATATAGACAATATTGGGAAACAATATAACAGGGTAGGAAGAATATGAGTTTGAATTTATTTCCATCACTTAATGCTCTGTCTCCTTGGGAAAGTTACTCTGTCCTTCTAAGCCTCATTGTCCTCATCTATGTAATGGGGATGATTGGAGTATTTTCCCCAAAGGCTCGTGCAGGTGAAATGAGGCAATCCTTTTAAAGCACACTGGGCCTGTTCAGGAAACAGTAGTGGATTAAGTGTTATTCTGAGATTAATTTTCATAAGATTTCTGGACCCATTTAACATTTCTGAATGTGAGAACCTTATATGTGCAGTAGGATTCACTGGGCTTTAGGAAATAGTTTTAACCTTTCAGAAATACCCCTCTCCCATTTTTACATGCTTTGCTTGCTTTCCTGAGTGTGTACTAAGGTTGAAGAAAGTCTAATCTAACTAAATAATGGGTTTCCACAGTGTGTGGGCTCCGATTTCGATATCATTCCAAGTGTAGGATCTCTGTGGTTCTTTAGGATGCCAACCCCTTCTGCACTGGCTGTGTATTACTTTACTATGGTTATGATAAGGAAAACTATCAGAGAGATACTTAATCACACATTTGGGGGAGCCAGGTGAATTCAAATAATGGAAATTCTTACCATTCTTTTTGACTTTTCTTCCTCATAAGAACCTTTAATCAAGATTTTTCTTTAATGGGATCTATCCGTGGTGACTCAAAATGTAATTTAATTCTTATCAGAATTCATTTAAGCTTTACTCAAAGACCCTTGTTCAGTATTGATTCCAGAGTTCAACATAGCCCTCAGGCTCTCAGATGGATGTATAGCATGTTAATTTCTTCTGAACTTTCCTGAGTCCAATAAGCTGCACACCAGAAATGCCAAGATGTTGGGGAAACCAGGAGAATAAGTCAAACAAGTTTGTTTTGAAGATAGAGTTTGTATTAAGGAGATCCCTAGAGCTGTGTGTGTCTTTTTTGGAACCAAAGGCTTTAGAACAGGAAGCATTTTCTATGTCATCCAGCAAAGTTGCTTCTTGTTACATTAGTGGAAACTGATGTCTAAGAGACATTCTGTACAAAGCAGAGAAGACCAGCCCCTGGCCATCATCAGTGTGCTTTTCTTTTTTTTTTTTCACTGATGGAATCAGGATATTGAAAGCAGTGGCTTAGTTCATTATTTCTGTGTAAGGACCACCCATTTTTTGATACTCTGAGTCTAGGAATGAGACCAGTGTAATATAAATTAAGTTTATTTCTATCTAAATTGGTTGTTGATCAACCTAAGGTCATATTTAAATGAAATATTTACATTATTTTGAGGGAAAAGGCACCAGTAATTTCATCAGTTTAGTTCAGTGCTCATTAATATTTTCCTACGGTCTCTTGAATTTGTAATCCTTGTGCGTAAGTAGCTGTGATTAAACAAAATTGACTCAGTATGGCATTGTAATTCTCATTAATCACTTTACACATTTTGTTTTCCATTTTCTATTTGTTAACCTACATGAATACATAGTTTTCCATTTCTATTAATCTTCATTTTTAGCGTTTTATCTGTTTAGTTTTACATTGTGTTTACACACTATATTTTGAAACCATTTGCCACTCAAAGGGTGTTGGGTGTTTTCCAGTCTTTTATTGTTGTAAATCACATGTCTGTAGATAACTGAATACAATTTTTGTATTTTTTAAATTTTGAACTGACTTCCTTAGTATAAATTTTTTGATTTACATTACCATGTCAAGTTTGAGGTAATTTGGAGGACTTTTCCTTTACTTTGCCAGATTTTTTTAGAAAGATTTTTCTAATTTACAAAACCTTCAGCAATAATGAGATCATTTCTTAAACTGTTACCTATCCCCTATTGGAGAGGTTTATTTGTATTTATTTTAAACCAGTTTAATAAGTGCACTATGTCATAGTTATTTTAATTTGTTTGTATAATTATTAGCAAAATCAAGGAGATACTTTTCTACTTTATTGATATTTCTCTTGAAAGCATAGTTTTGATTATTCTTATAAATTTGAGTAAATGAACAAGTTAAAATTAAGAGCACTAAAACTTCCTTGGGAAGTAAAGTGATATAAATAGAATATATTTATTCTAGTGCCAGCTCTCCTGGTGTGACCTTCGATAAGTCATTTAGCTTCTGAGTACCAGTGTCCTCATTTATTAAAGGGAGCCGAATTAGTCCTTTTGTGTTGCTTATAACAAAATATTTGGAACTGGGTAATTAGCAAAAAAAATGAAATTTATTGCTTACAGTTTCTGTGGCTGGGAAGTCCAAAGTCCATCTGGTAGTGGCACCAGTGACCCAGGGGTCTCACATTGCAAGATGGTGGAGGCAGAGAGAGACAGACAGACAGACTCTCCTCTTCTTTTAAAGCCCTTAGAGCCACGCCCCTCACCACCATTTTTAATCCTTTCACTAGTGCACGGTCCTACAATGCAATCACCTCTTCAAGGCTCCACCTTACAATTACCATAATAGGATTTCCCACCCTCTTCACAGTCACAATGGGGGCTAAGATTCTAATACATTAAACTTGGGAGACACAATTCAAGCTTCAGGTAGTTTTGGGGGGACATAATTCAATCCACTGAAATAGCTATTCATTTTTTCTCTCTCTTCAAAGAAAGGGAATGAACAAGTGTGATATTTTTGTATTAGGAAACTGTTTACTAATATAAGGGCTTAATCTGATTAATAACATTTTTATTGTTGCTTTTTTCCCTTAGCGTAATGTGATACAATATAGAAACCCTCTAAGTCTGGGGCAATTTCCTGACTGTAGTTGCTATGGAAATACTTAAATAAACAGTTGCCATAGAAGGAATATGAGGGCATATATAAGAAGAGGTTCATGCTTTGCCTAAGAAGATTTTTATGTTGGTCTAAATATGGGGGGCAGCCTCAGTGTCTCCAGTATGTGTCCCTGCCTCCTTAATGCGACAGGCGTACTTGTGAGTGTAGAAAAATAATTGCTGTTTTCTTCTTAGCATTGCCAAGGAGTCTGGACCTAAGGACACAGCACATCAGAAATTCTTAGCAAAAGTCTGTTTATGAAATGGCAGCCAAGGATCCTCCTCCCCTAAAGCAGGGCTCATACTAG